CGCTCCGAGGTCATAGAGGCTAATCGATTCATTGCCGTTGACGGTATCCACGCTGCGACGAACAACTGGAATTTTGTATTGGATGGCTAAAATAAACAAAGTAAAATCATTGACTGATGTTTCAAGTATATTTCAGCAGCATTTAAAACTGACATATTCTCCAATAACTTTGTAAGAGTAGACAACATATCTGGATCAGGCGATTTGAAAAGGTCCAAAGAGATTTTTAAAGCGTTTATACTCGAGCCCAGATGCTTCTGGAAAGAAAGAGAACCTTTTGGTAGTTGACAATGGTTCTTTTTGGAGATTCTAACATATCAGTGTAGTATAAATCTTACTACCGTTCTAAAAATATTTCTGCAGTCTGATTGGCTTCGCTATTCGTTACTTGTTCAGTAAAAAAAACTACGCGCTGAAAACGGATAAATCCTCATGAAACACGAGCAAAATTGTAATACAAGTGCAAATTACGAATAGCACACGCACGCTTTAACTTGCATTACCGGCGCGGCAAATTTTGCTGTCTTTAAAAAAAAAATTTACTCGTTCTTATTGACATAAAATTGCACTCGAAATCATATTATTTTTTATACATATGGCGATTAAACCTACTAGCCTAATTTTGCGTGGCTGTAGACAAAAATGAATAAAAACACAAGCCTGTCTTGACGTTAAGTGAACGACTGGTGAATTGATACTAAAACAATTACATTAGTCGCCCATGGATCAAATGCGAGATAAAATTCTCGTGCCCATAATCTTATTGTACTTCTATCCAATGTCCAGACGAAAAACACAGATGCCGTATACTATATCAAAGAGAACATATACACGATAACAAAATTTGGGCTAAAAATTGGAAAAATTTCAGAGTAAGTTCTCAGTCACCCTACCATTTGATGTGTCAAAGTTTTCACTCCCGTGGGAAGAGGCTGAACTTTCTTTCAGAAAGTCTCGGATTTGCTGAATTTGCAGCGAGAATTTCGTGTCCATTGTCCTCAAGTCCCGGGCGACAGTTTCTATTCTCGCAAACAAAGCAAACACTAAAACAATTGAAATGATCGATAGCGTAGAAGAGCACGTGTAAAATATTTCGCTTCGTTCTCTTTTTCTGGTGGTCATTTTTGTATCTCGTACGTTGTTATCCATGGCGAATGGAAATACAAAGGTGAAAATTCATGTACAAGTTCGTTGAACGCTTCGGGGGTCCCTAGAATGTGTAGCAGGAGCGGAAGGAACTTCTACAGTCTTAATTTGATTACCTCATACGTGACCTCAGATGTATACTTCCTCTTGATACATCGCGCACAGCATTCCCACAGGAGCACTTTTTGCTCTGCTTACAACTTAATTCGTTATGACTGTGAATATATGAACTATGGATAAAGACGTGAATATGAAAGCGATCTTCACAGTAATGAACACTACTTTAGCAGTAGTGAAAATGAGGCCTAAAAAACAATAATAATAATAAAAAGGTTCAGGCCCTATTTCCACTACTGCTCATTGTGTTCATTGCTACGAAGATCACTTTCATCTTCACGCCTGAATTCGTTATTTTCACGCGTTGAGGTCATACACATCGATAATGCTGTCTTGATTGTCCTGTTCTGTGGCCGTTTCCTCAGCTATTAATCATTGTTTTGCTTGATTGCGACTTAAATTTATAATCTTGTATGGGCCCCCTCCCCTCCCACCTTCATTGGCGATAATGTTTGCCTTTCGTATGATGTTTTGATGCAAATATTATCCTGTGAGCGTGTCTGCTGAAGCGATTCGGTTGTTTTTTAAATCACAGCTGACCCTACGGGGAGCCTTTCATAAATCAATAACAACGTCTGCGTTAGCTGTAGTTTGCGACCTTTCAGTTGACCCGTGACGAAATCATGTTTACAACATGATTTCAAGACATCGCGCATCGTTAGTGAGTTCCGATAGCGTGTCAAGCGGTTCTGATCGAAGTATGGATTGCAATTTTGCGTAACCCGGTCGAGCCAAAGTAGTAATGGCAAAACTAGACGGCGCTGTAATGCCGCCGAAGCGTACTAAAAAGGTACCCAGATTAAGTCCAAAATCAGTAATGAGATAACGGCGTCTATAGAATATACGATTTTACGCCACTATCTGCGTCCATCGTTATTTACTGTAAGATTTTAAACCGTTAACTAACGGCGTCAAATCTCTTAATATGTATATATAACGACTGGAAAATTTTACGCCGTTAGTTACTGGTGTAAAATCTTATATGTATAAATTACCAACTGAATAAAATTACGTCGTTAGCAACTGGCGTAAAATCTTACAGAAATCTTAAAAATCTTAAAATCATATATATATATATATATATATATATATATATATATATATATATATATATATACCGATTATAAGATAGTAACTAACGCCATAATTTCTTCCAGTCGGTGATAAGTATAATGTAAATTTTGCGCCACTGATATAACTTAATTATAATTTATTATAATTAATCTACCGACGCAGATAGTGGCGTAAAACCGTTTAGTCTATAAACTGTGTTTTTCACGTATTACGTCGTTATATACATTCCCGTCTTATATCCGGCGATTCTTCTTAGCTGTTAGGGTTATATAAGGTTACTTTCCACCTTCGCGGGCGTCCTTCTAGAAAAGTTTCGTACGCGCGCTAGTTCCACTAAAATCCCAGTAAACTACACACCAGAAGAAAGGTTAGTAAATGCAGTTTACAATAAAAATATAATTTAAGCAACTTTTCTTAGAGGGAAGTGTCAGGAGCTGGTAGGGGAAAAGTAACCTATTGCAGAAGCCTTTAATGAGCAAAGTTTGCAAAGACGAATCCCGCGACAAATATGGAAAACCGGAAAATGCGCTGAGGAGCAAGACAACGAATCGACAGACAGCCTTCAAAATTACGATGCCAGGCCATTGCTAATTAATGTTTTTATATCAAGGCTTGTATAAAGAAAAGTAATCTCGTTTTTAATATTATGTACGGCAAATTTTAATGTAACGGCGACTTCTTTGTTCGAAATCTGGACGCCTGCGTGGAGCTCCACCAGTACTTGTCGCTTTCACAAAGGAATTTTTTTCTTTTCTTGACAGAATGCTACGCCGGCTTTCTTTCTTCCTTGAACCAACTTTTATTTTTTCTCTTTTTACCAAGGACTTTCTTCCGCTTTTGATTTTCCACGAGCAAAGATTTTTCCATAAGCAAAGAGCTTCCACATGTGAATTTTGTAGAGTGCGCGATGTAAACAAAATATGGATATAACATAAGTTTTTCTAAATAACTTGAGTGCTTTAAAAGATTTCAGAAATTCTATGGAAACGTCATGTTGAATGTTTGAATTCAGTTTAGTCAAATAAAAGAAAAATAATTTTTTTCGGCCTCTGAAGGTTGGGAGTAACCTTAACATCTCTCAGGCACCACCCAAGAGGAGAATTAAATGAGTAAGACATCAAAAATTGATGCGTCTCGTTTATAAAAGGGAAAAGGTTAACTCCCTTCTCTTGTGTGCGAAGTTTCAGTTGAAAATTTTGACGTTTTCAAGAAATGAAAGAAAAAAATTTACGACTCACGTATATTTCAGGAGGCAAATCACGCCTCACACTGGTTCATAAATTCACGAATCACGATCGCTTTTTCTTGTCAAATTCACGCTTCACATATTAATTTTAGTCGCAATCACGCGTTAATCGTAAACCATTTTGCTAGCCACTTGAGGTGTACATGTAATGTCTCGGTACGCGCGCGAAATATGTTAGTTGAACCAAGCCTAGCAGCGGAGCTACAGTTTATTTTCCAGTCCTTCACTTTATCGGAATTTCTTATTGGCTGTTGAAGCCTTTGTTTAGGGGAATTCGGGGACTAATGATGTAAATAAAAAATCACGCGTTTCTGATTGGCTGAAATCAAGGACATTCTCATGTAACACGAGTGCAAAGTTGTAACATGAGTGCAAATTACAAATATCAAAATTTTGTTTGTCTTGACTATCTGTGATCTTTTTTCATGCCTTTATTAACAAGTAATATTATGATTTCCCTTGGTGGTGCAATGAGCACTTGTAAATATTTCAAAAACTACAAATTGCATTTGCCCTGCGGGCTGGTATAATTTTGTTGCCTTTAAAAAAGTTATAAGTGCTTATCTGAACAAAATTGCACCCGAAATCATGTTATTACCCAGACTAATTACGTCAAGCGAAAACAAAACAAAACCAAAAATGAATTCATTTTAGCGATTAAAATACATATCTAACAATCCCTACGTTGGGGGAGGGGGGCATGGAGGGGCGTGGAGTTAAGGGATGCAATGCAGGATGTTGTCTGCACAGCTCTCCTATTTAAACTCGGTACGTCGCTGCCAAGCTGAGGCAATCATATTAATAAAGGTGAAATCTTGACAAACTGGTACGACGTTAATAAGTCAATGAGCAAACTGTTTGCTATTTTATTTTTAAATTCTGACAGTAACTAAATCAGTTTTAAGTTTACATCTAAAAACTGATGATTTTACGTTTCATTTTCGCTAATTGTGACAGTTATGAGAGACGCACAAACATCATATAAGTAGGGAAAAGCGGACAATCTCTCGAAATGAATTTTGATTAAAGATCTATATTGCTTCTTTAAGTTTGCCTGGAGTGCATTCAGGCCTGCAATAGTATATCTTATCTGTCATTTGTTTTAATTAAAACAAGGAGATGTAAGACCTTCTCCTATTGATTAGTTTTAGAAATCTTGTCACGGTATCGCTTAGTTGTAATTAATTCTTGACTTTCCTCTGAAATAGCGCAAATCCAGCGATCTTTAAGTCTGGAACACTTATGACTTTTGTTTTTGTTTTTTGTTACCCCTTCAAAGATTTGATGTCGCATTGAGTCTAAAATCCAAAAAAGTAAAAAAAAAAAAAAAAAAAAAAAAAAAAAAAGGACAGCAATAGGGCCCACTTCTCTCAAACTAAACATCTTCAGCTTAATAAACTAAACCAAAGTACTGATTTCTACAAGAACCATGGGCAAGCGTCGACCTTGAGAAATCTAGGGATAAAATACGATGAAATGAAAATATCGACTAGCAAAAAAATTACATGACTTCCTATTTGTCGTTAAATGAAAAATTACAATCCACTCGATCTTTATGATATTTTAAAAAAGCCTCGAATGGCAAACTGGTATGGTCCCCTTAAATCCAGTGATTAATATGATAGCGTTTCCTTACAATACACTGTTATTTCATTAATTGGCAAAGAATTTGGATAAAAAAAAAAGAACTGAATGTTGACCGACTTTTGCCTCGAGGAACAGATATTTTCCCACTCGGCTCCGCCTTGGCAAAAAAGGCTGTTTACGTCGGGATCAGTCTATAAGTGTTTAATAATGCCCAAAACACTTTTCTCTTTTCACAGTAAGGTTATGATCACCTGACCATGGCCAGATGATTGATAGCAACATTCGTTTTGTCGATTTTTACCAGCATTATAAGATCCGCCACCGCCTCCACAGGAATCATATTCATTATCCCCACTGCTTCCTCCAGAGTATCCTCCTCCTCCTCCTGCACCTCCTTCATTTCCATAAGCACCTCCACCTCCACCAAATCCACCAACAGCATTGTTATACTTAGCTCTACCTCCCACTCCTCCCTGGAGAAATCCTTTTCCACCCTCTCCACCTATTCCCATGGTACCCCCAAACTGCTTTGAACTTCTGCCGTTGGAGTAGAAACCTCCGCCACCGCCACCTGTCGGGTTTATTAAAACAAGAAGTGATTGTATGCAGTCTATTCTAAATCAGTACACGTTGGTTTGGAACGTAGTGAAATTGTTCACTCTTTGACTTACTAGACAAGAAGCTAAATTCGCGTGACAGAGATTAGCGGAGATCGATGGTAACTGCACAGAGAGACCGAGTCATTGAATACGGGTCGATATCACAATAATGCCGTAACAACTGAGTCAATGTCCACGCTTTATTAATTGGTTTGCATTTTGAAAAAATAAAAATGCAGTGAGAATTTGAAAGATAGCGATGCCAACGGACCAAAATTTAAATACAAAATTGCAATGTAAATTGACATGACGATAAAACACATCTTCAAGTAGAGGTCTAGCGCCTGTGATCAGGTGATGCGACAAATGCAAGAAGGTCAAGTAAATGATCTGTTATCAGGTTCTTTTTGGTCATGTTTAATTTTTTTAAGTTTTGCTGGCGAGAAAACAATCACTAGACAAAAGACACAAAAACCAAACAAAAACAAAATAGTTTAACATTCAACAATGATAAATCCCTAACCGTCCTGTCATACAGTTCGCCATCAAAATAATTTATTATCACTTCAATAATTAACTACTTCTCGCTTTTTTCTCACAAGAATTGATTGATATACGGATACCAGACATCAAGGTTTTGGTTTAGAAACAGGTGACAACATCAAAACAACCCACTTACCGGAATTACTAGTATCAGCAGTCTGTGCACCATGTCCATTGCTCCCCCCTGACCAAGACCTGTACCCAGGATTTCCCGATGAACCAGTACTAGCATCACATCCTGAATGCCTTGAATATGCTGATTCTATGCCTCCTCCACCCCCGGATATAATCAAAGGTGTGTTGCCTCCTCTTACTACAAATGTACCTCCACCACCGCCAGAAGCCTTTTTCCCCGTGTTTACTCCTCCTTCTTGGCCGACAAGTATTCGAATAACTTCACCCTTGTTCAAGCGGAACGTTCCAACCATTCTTGCTCCCCTTCCTCGGTATTGAGTACTGTTAGCGTGTGAATCGTACCCTCCTGCTGCTCCTATTGCTTCTATTCTGTAGTCACCAGTGTACGGCACAGTCCACTGTTGAATACCGCTGGACAGTGTAACTTGTCCGTCATGATCCTGTTTAGCGTAGTGACTACCAGGCGATGTTGGACCAAATCTTCCACTCGCACCAAGGTTGGTAAAGACGGCCTTAAACTTTTCTAGTTAACACAAAAAGATAGATCGATTCTTTGTGTTGGTAACTGAGAAATATTTGTTATGTCAATTTACAGTTAATGAAAATGACGTTAATAGTCCTAAACATACTCCTTCCTCTCACTAGAAGAAACAGAAAAAAAAAACCTTTTTGAAGTTTTAAAGTTCAAATCGAATGCAGTGTTATACTTTGAAACTGTTGTTAGTTGCAAAAGGAAAGACTAGTTTTATTGAAAAAATTACAAGTTGTTCTACCCGTTTTCAAGTCAAGGGGATTACTAGGAAATTTTTGTTGAGTTTGAGTACACCGATTTCATACATCAGTAACAATCAACATCCTTAGCTTTTTTCGGAATAAAAAGAAGGGTATCGTTTTCAGACGTACCTATGTGTATATAATATAAGGTTGTCAAAGCACTGACAGATCCCAGCTTGTTGGACGCGGTACATCGGTACGTACCAGAATCTTTAAGATCAAAAAGTGATATATCTAGAGTTCCATTGCTGACACTTGTTCTATCTTGTGGTAACGGGACAAGTCCTCTTGACCAAACTATTTTTGGCGAAGGAAATCCAAACGCTTGGCAGGAAGCAGATGCCTTTTTACCTCTGTTGATTTTAATGACTCTGTTTGGAGTTTTTGTGAATCGTGGAGGAACTGAGGAAAGCAAAGAAAAAACACGTTTTTATCTAAGTTCACTTAGAAATTCTTAAAAATCTTGGCTTACTTTCTAAAGAATAGGAAAAAAAGACAAGTAAAAGAATTGAGGATCGAACTGCTTGATTTAGTGAGCATTCCAAATTTTGAACTGAAATCCAAAGATAAAGTTCAGGTCAAATAGTTAATTCCTTAGGATGTGTTCTAGGAGACCTCAGTCGGTGGTAAAATCAAACGCTTAAGACAAAAGAAACAAAATCATGATTGCAGTAACGATAAGAGAAAAAAAAATGCAGAATATGGACCATAAATAAATATAGACCTAAAGTATTTTGATCGTTAGTGTCGTTATTATTATCATTATTGTTAATATTATTTTTAAAATAATTATCATCATCATTTATCATAACCATTATTGTTATTGTAAAATCTATTATCACTATCATCACCACTATTATCGAACTTATTATAATGTATAAAGTTAACGTGATTCCTCAGTATTGCAATGCGCATCATCAGGCTCACAATTGCAGACTGTAACAAACTCTATTCATTAAAATATGCTTACCTTCCACAAAGAGCTTCACCTGCTTTTGCACCTCACCCAATACGTTCTTGGCCGTGCAAACATAATTTCCCGAGTCATTATAAGTAGCTTTTGTGATTTCTAACTTATTATGTCGGCTTGAAATTGGTTTCGTATCACCAGTTTTACTCCAGGTGACGGTAGGCATTGGATTGCCATTAGCCGAGCAATAAAACGTGGCAGTTTGGTTTTCAGTAACAGTGTCTGTAGTTAGTGATACAGTCACCTCTGGCGCTGATAGGGACTCGCCCGGTTCACCTTTAGCTCCTGGTTGTCCAGGTGTCCCTGGGATTCCTTAGTGTAACAATGGGAAAAGAAGAGTTATTGAAGGAAATAATAAAATAATGATCATTAAAAATCGCACCTTAAGATAGAGAAATAAAAAAAACATGTTTGACGTAAACTTAACAAACAATAATTTTATTATTTCATTTTACGATTGTAAAAAAAGTCTACAAAAACTTAGTGGGTAACTTGCAACGATTTTTTTTGCAACTAGACATTGATTTGAAGAAAAAGTCTATTAAATTTTGTAAAAGCAATATCCGCTATAAATGTGATTGAATTTTTTTGTCTGTGTGTATGTGGTGACACTTTGTTCTGATTAAGGATATACTTTGAGTTTTATGCAAGACAACAACAAACTTTAGCATCATACAGATACTATCTCACAACGATAGCCCGTAATACTGATGACCGTCTCTCAAAGGGCTTAAAATGCAATGTCATCGATAAGTGACAGAAAGAAAAAGTCTTACTGCGCGACTGGTTCTATAACTAACAAATTAACGTGCTCTGTACTCTTATTGACAGCGATATTTTTCATCACAGAGGTCAAAATGTCCTGGACTCGCGAGGCGCTTCCGTGTGACTGCAACAAATGCAATGCAACAAATGCAATGCAACAAATGCAACAAGTTTTCACCACCTCCTATTGAGCCATCGTGGGCAAAATCTCTAATGACAAAAATAACTTGTAATTTTGTCATTATCATTATTATGATTATCATCATTGTCTTATTGTTTACCTTTTTCTCCCTTGATTCCTTCAGGGCCAATATCTCCCTTGATGCCTTGCTTTCCCGGTCCTCCTGGAGGTCCCACAACTCCTCGCGTTCCCTTTTTCCCCCTAATTCCTTTGGGCCCTCTCTTCCCGGGAAGACCACGAGCTCCTATTGGTCCGGGAGACCCTACTACACAAACCCTGTCTGGACTTTGACAGACATATCCCTTCATAGTCGATCGCACGTATCTCTTGATAGCCTCTCCAATGTCATAGTGGCTAATCGATTCATTGCCGTTGACTGTATCCACGCTGCGACGAACAATTGGAATTTTGTATCGGATGGCTAAAATAAACAATGTAAAATCGTTGACTAATGTTTCAAGTATATTTTGGCTGCATTCAATATTGAAATATTCTTTGATAATTTTGTAAGAATGGTTAGAATTTCCACATTCAGTTATTGGAACAGACAACATAATCCGGAGCAGACGACATAATCCGGATCAGGCGATTTGAAGAGATCTAAATACATTTTAAGCGTGTGTACTCGAGCTCAGATCATTCTGGGCTCGAGAACCTTCGATAGATGACATTGTGCCCTTTTAACGAATCTTACATATTACTAC